AGACACACACACACACAGACGCACACACAGACGCACACACAGACACACACACACACACACAGAGACAGACAGACACACACACACACACACAGAGACACACACACACAGACACACAGACACAGGCACAGACACAGACACACACGGACACACACGGACGCACAAGGACACAACACACACTCACTCTTGCCTTTGCCAGATCTGGCTCGCGGCCCAGCGGCTTCCAGCCCTACCGGGACCTGATTTCACTCTGATTCAGAGCTTCCCGGCCGAGCCAACTATGAGCCTAAAACCTTCGAAGGACCCGGTGCATCCGGGTGGTGAGGACCGGAAGGCGAAGGACGGCTTGGGTGTAGAAGGCAGGCCGAGCCAGGTTAGCAGAGTCTCCGCCACTGTACTTGCCATGCAAGACAGGCGTTGACAGAGGCATGTGGAATGTGCTCTACCTGTTCCTCAACCACAAGCAGTTCGAGGAGCATCCAAAGTGTCACGGATCACGAACCTTTCTAGTTTGCTCTCGCAAGCTTCAGGACAATTGTGCACGATTCCCGATTACTGTGGCCACCATCAAGGAGCGAGACAGTTTCATGTTTCACAAACTGATTATGAGAACAAGTTTGTTTTCAAGAAGACCGCTGAAAGGAGGCTTTCCCCAGGCACTACTCTCATGTCCGCCCGCCTGACTTGACCAGGGTCGTAGAAGGCCACCGAGCCAGTCAGAACTTCTTACCTGTCTTCCCTGCCCTTGCATTCACAACGCCAGCCACACCGTCAGCACCTTTATGTCTGCAGTTCCGGTCGTCAGACCTCCAGGCTTTTCTCTCGGCGCTGACACCCGGATCTCACATCGTCAAGCATTTCGGCCCCTCCAACCGCATGCTTCGAGTCTGGCTCGGACCCGAGTCTGTGAGCCGTCGTGAAGCCTTCCATTCTCTTGCTTTCTTTGCTTGTTGCTGAGTGTCTGAGGCTTCCACTTTGTGGCTTTGACGGTTTCCGGCTTCGCGTGGCCGCCTCGGCGACCCGTTCTGCAAATTAGCCCACAAGAACTCCGCGAGGTCGGGGACGTGATCCTGAAACCCAAGGCGCCTCTGTGCGACTCTTTTCCTATGCACGCAGAGTGTGTGGCTTTTGTGGGAAGGCAGGCGAAGCCTTTGTTTGGGACCATTCCTTCGAGCACGAGGCAGCCGACCGTGGTAAACGCAGAACTCAATGAGGTAAGACCAAGTGACCAAGACATGGTGCGAAGGCCTGGCACGAAGGTCCGGAGACGCGTATAGTCCTCATTGTCGACATTTGGCATCCGGATTTGACCGATGCCGAGGCCGGAGCCCCGGTCGTTCACAAGCCCCTGTTAAAGTATATCCCTTTTAGAGATCTTTTAGAGACGAGCACTCAGCGAAAGTTGTCCATGCATTTACACAACGTTTCAAACCCTTAGTCTTGCGGCTTGAGATTGAGTGGATCTAGCAGAATCTAGCATCCGACCATATCAGATTTGCTTCCAATTCAGTAGCTTATGCAACGGGTCAGACTCGGTGCCCACAGGTCAAGTTTCTCCGTACTCTGCAAAGCTGCCGCTTGCGGGCCGGAAAGGCAACCACAGCACGGTTTTCTAAGAGTGTTTGCATGGTATTTTTAGCAGCCTCCAGCCCGGATTCGCTGTCTCGAGCATCTTTTGACGGACGTTGCACAAGAACTTAAAGCCAAGCTTCTCTTGCCCAGACTGCACTCAAGAATCCATTCCGGCTGCCGAGAGTCATCCTGCTTCCTTTCTCCAGCCAGGCATTGGCGGAGTTGAGCGCGGAGATGCCAAAGGGCCCAGAGGCCGTTGTCATTAATGGGGTTTGATTACGGATTACTGCTACTTAGCAGCTCAAGCTGAAGGAGGACTCCCGATCAGATTTTGGCAGGAAGCATCCTATTTCGAGATCGTGGAGAAAGCCCGTTCATTACTAACGACGGATGACTGGTGGGTGGTTCGAGTCTCAACTGCCCCTGCAGATGGTCTCGTCTTTTTGCTATTGCCTGGACGGAAGAAGTTGCGCCATACCGTATGTGCCAGATTGCAGTCAGGAATCTTCAGGTTCGTCTTAGCAGTTGCAACGATTGAACCCATCTTGGCCTTCCCAGCAGCTCCTACCCAGCCGTCCCCTCTCCGCCAGCTGAAGGTGAATGCTCAACGCGATCCTTCCACTCTGCCGACGTGAGGCCTGCTTGTGTTCGATACCGCCCCAGACTCCAAGTCCAAGCATTCCACAGAGTTTGCCCTTCTTCTGTTCTTGCCCTGCTATTTTTTGGTTTGAAGCAGGATGCATTGAAACCCTACGGCCTCCTGCAGCTTCCATCTACATAGCCAGTACGCGATGCAGTTGCTGATGATCGATTCATGAGGCTGTTCTTGCGATTTTTGACGCTCGTGGTTCGACTCTCGACTGCAAGGTCGCAAAGCTACCCGCACTGCGGGGAAGCAGAGGATGACATCCTTGAGGAGCACGCATTGAATACGCAGCTGCTACAGGTGTCACATGCTTTGCATCGTGGGCCGATCTCTGGTGACTTTTGGGACCTGAAAGCTATTTTGACTGACAGCCCACCAGGCACATTTCTGTCCAGAATGGGTGTGCTTGTGCAGGCCGTCAGTTTGACATACAACACATCGCGTCCACTGGACAACACTACCAGCACCAGCAGTCATGGTGAAGGATTCTCCGTTGATGGGGTGAAGTGGGAGAGGCTCCGTGAGTTTGACAGAGATCCCACCCCTGGTGGCGTCTTCGCAAGAGTGTTTGTAGACCGAGGGAGCAAGGCAGGGCTTGTCGTCTTCAAGGGGATCTGCACAAACCCGCATCTCGAGCAATGCCAAATCGATCAGTGCTACCTCATCAGGATTCAAAACTACGGCCTTCTGTCTCCGATAGTTGCAAGGCTAGGCGGCTTCAGCCCTGAAGCTTGTGCCCAGCACCAGCAACATTTGGACTATGCCGCACAGGCAAACCAATTTATACGTCAGGTGCAGACTGCACTACCTGACTACCAGCTGCTCTTGACGGGACATTCGCTGGGTGGGATGCTCGCCATCGTTACAGCTGCGCAGCAGCCTCACCTGCTGAAGGCTTTGACGTTTGCTCCTACCCCTTTCAACGTGGTCATGAAGCAAGAGCTCAACTTTTCTCAGGAACAGATCAGGGCCCTTCCGGTCAATGAGCTTGTGGCAACCTGCGATCCATATGACTGTGGCATCAATGCCCTTTACGCTCAGCAAGCACGTGCAGGCTCAGAGACCTGTTTGTATTTGCACACAGAAGAACCCGCCCCTTGCCAAGGGTTGGTCCTCCCATACGGCTCTACGTCATGGCGGGAGCAAGTCAGCAACAGCCCGAACTCCACGAATATCACGGCTGCCATCCCAGAGCTTCTGTGTAAGGGATCCGCTCATCGTTGGCGACGATACGTGGACGTCGTCCTGCGCAAAAATTCTCAGGGACGGCCTGCTAACCTTCCCGTCTGCAGCACGGACTTCAGTATCCTCGAAACAGCTTTGCAAGCAGCGCGCTAGCCACTAGTCATCCTCGGAAAAAGATGTGTGCGCGGCGGTCGTAGCCGAGCCCAGTGCCTCATTGAGCTTAGACGTGGTCCGGCCTTCTCAACAAGTTTCTGCGTAGACTCGTGCATTAGTGCATGACCAGTGCTGTCGCCTACCGATTGCTTCCAGCAGGTGCTGCGGGCTGCGCAAGCAGAATGAGTGTATTGGCAGAGCACCATGAATAGGCTTGCGAGCCTTGCGGCAATGTCCGCCGTGGCAGAAGAGTGAGACAAACGTGGCGCAAGTCAAGCAAGCTGGGCAAGCTGAAGTCATGCTTACCTACATGCTGCCATACCGTGAAGCACGTCAGTCTGAGAACTTAGAGACGGTCTAGGAATCTGGAATTGTGCAGTCGCGGTTCTTGGACACAGCGATGTACTCGTGCACAGGCATTTGGTTCTCGACAGCTACTCCCCCTTCCTTGGGAATGCCATCCTGGTGTCGGTCGGCTGCTTCCAGACTTTTGCAAGCACACGAAATCTAACGCATTCCCGAACCTCTTACATTGTTTGGCATATGCAGAGCACGTCTCTAGATTCGATCAAGGATCAGGCAGCTCTAGGATAGACTGTGAAAGGAGAGATGGGTCCTTTGGCGCAGGTTTCTTTTTGGAGTCAAGGTCGCCGATCGTCTTTGCTCGATGCTGGGCTCCGTTCTCAGTCTTTGCATTGCTTCTACTTCCAAAGGTAGCACAAGCTGCCATCGGGCAGCAGAGGCGTTTCTTCAATTGAGCCCATGCAGAGGGAATTCACGACCCGCGACGAATTGAGAGGTAGGAAACTGGGGAGGTGTGTGGGCTTCTACGACTTGTCTAAAGTGCATGAGTAATACAACACTCTAACCTTCTGATGACTTTGCCTTTGTTGGTTTCTGAGAGCGGATGTACGAGGCTCTATCAGCTGCTTCGCGTGGTTCCCGTGCCTTATTTCGCCCAGTACGACTGCGGTCAGGAGGCGGGCTCTGAAGGTCCTGTGCGATGCTTGTGCTTGTTTCTGTAAACCCCAACAAGGAAGCCATGCTGAGCGCTCCGCGGCGCTTTGTCGTGTCCTTCGCCGGGTCCATCAAGGCTGAAGCTGTTTCTCTGTCTCTATGTCTCTTTTCGGTGTTGATGAAAAGTGATATCAAGTCACGTGCAAGGACAAGCCACCGTATTTTGTTTTCCGCGAGAGGCCGGCCCTGCATGCTCCTAGGTGTTGCGAGTATTCGTGTGTTTCCGGCTGTGATCGCATTGGGCAGAGAAATTTGGCTCAAAGGACGCATCTGGGATGTAGGCAGCAGTGCTGCAGCACGATGTGGCCACAAAGACATGGCCTTATCGCAGCGCTGGCCGTGGTTTTTCTTCCCTCGGCAACAGGCCAGGCATTACCGGCTATTACCGAGGAGGAGGCAAAGGACCTCATTGAAAAAATGAAATCCATGGAAGGCAACCGGACAGCTCATGAAGAGTCTGAGCTAATGGACAGAGTAATGGGCTTGGTGATCGGCGATGCCTCACTTGTGCGACTGCATGATACGACTCCAGACGAGTCCGAAAATTGCACTTGGCCGGATTGCGCTGCTTACTGTGTTCCATGTGCCAAGACGAACAGATATTGGACGTGCCTGGGAGCCACAGCAAAGTGCCAGGAGAACTCAGAGTGCGTTTTGGGGGCATGCTTTGCAGAGCCGGGCTTCTGCTATGCTGATGCATATCCACAGATCGCCAAGTGCTTCATGGGAGGTGTTCCCAAACACCCCAAATTTCACAACAACCTCATCCTCAGACTTGGAGCAGCGCCACCTGTGCCGTTACCAACAGATCCTTTTGAGAAATGGAGCCATTGGGCTCGGTCTTGTCTTTTTATGCCAATCGTCTTCATCTTTGTCACAATATGGATTGCTTACAAGACATGTTGGGTGATTGACTGTTCGGCAGGCGATGAGTGTGAGTGGTTACCAGAGAGGAGGCGTTCAATCGTGTGCTTGACGGTCGTTTGCATGTTGCTCTTTGCAATATTGCAGCTCTTGCGCTTTCTGTCTGTGAGAAAAGAAATCAGCACCATTGCCGAGCGCGTGGAGCACCTCGAAAATTCCATGAAGCATCTGGGCAGTATGGCAGGAAAGCTGCTTCATGCAGAGAGGAGCTACAATGCAAGCCTGGTGGCTATTCCCGAGACATGCGGAAACCACAACCCATTGGCAACTCACTTAGTCGAGCTCCTTGCAAGCACGCTGCAGGTCCAGTTCAACGAAGTGGATGCTATTCTTCTTCTCGTCAGGGAGTCGTTTACCACGTCAGAAGTGCTGCTGGACAAAGTTAGGGAAATAGTCAAGCACACTGGCTGGAAAATCATCTATTATCCGTTTATTCCAAGCTTCATTTTAATTGGTGGTGTTTTCGCGATCTTGGCGACAGCATGCTATATCTGGAATCAGCCCAAACTGCTGTACGCCCCGCGCATGCAGCTCGCGCTCAAGTCGTTTGCCCCGATTATCGTGATGTTCATGCTAGCTGCTGGCGTGTTTGGTGCTGGTTGTTTCTTTCTGTCTTTGATCGTTAGTGGCTACTGCTTACAAGTGGACGACAACATGGTCCAGGCAGCTGGTTAGGTGTTTCATCTGTTTCTCTTAGTGTTCCGGTCGGTGCTGCGCTCTGCTGCCTCTAGGACGCATTGTTTTTGTTTTTTGTGGTAGGCGTAGCAAGCGGACCCTAATTCCTAATCCATGACTTCTCCCACTGTCACTACAATGCTCTTGGCTCGTTGGCAGGCGCTCCAACGACTCGACGTTTCCGAAATGGTCCACGAGAAGTACAAGGTAGACGCCATTCTCCAGCACATGGGGGCCTACTACATTTACGGCACCAACGTGAATCCCTTGGCCACTCTTGTGGCTAACTTCGAAGCGGCCCTCTACTCTGTGCTGCGTTTCTACTCCTTGATCAGCTGGGTTGTGGATGCCGGTGCGCTGACCTGTCCAGGACTCAGCAAAATCAGCCCAGAGCCTCTGGTGCATTCCTTCCTCAATAGCACTCACACCGCCTACGATTTCTTCCACGCAAAGAATATTTGGCCATACTACCACCAGAGCCTTGGCAACAATCTAGCTTGTGCAACTCGCAGCGGTCGGTGCTTTGCGGCTAGCGCCATTGTGTACAAAGCATTCAGGATTGTGCACGTCTCTATTTGTGCTCACTCTCCATGGAGCAATATGCTCTTCGTGCTGATGGCCATGCTGGTTGGCTTTGGCTTCTGCCCTGCGATGCTTGGCTGTGACTAGACCTCCCCGTCGTTCCTGGCAGGATCTGAAGCTGCGTTGGTAGAGACTATGGTCGTAAGGATTGCCATCGCCATCAGCAACCATTTGAAGCGCATCGGCTTTGAGCTCCGCAGACGCGACAGCAAGCTTCTGCAACTGCGCGATCAAGGTGAGGATTTGCGCCCCCTGGCATGGAAGAGGTTTTGGAGCAGTTTTTGGAGCGCAGACTTTTCAGAATGTTCAGATTCCAAGCTGTGAGGCCTTCATGCCCGTGGGGCCGTGCATGCGTTGACCAAGGACAGATCGACGAATCTGGCATTGCCATCGAGCATCGGCTGGATCGACTAGATACTCGCGGGCAGGCGGGGAGCAACGAGTTCCCTTTGGTTGCATTGTAATGGCAGCCCCCATCAGGGCTCAACTAACTGTGACACTTGTCTGCAGGTCACGGTCCTCGACTCTGTGATGAGCTCCCGCCCGGCAGAGGTGCAGAAGGAACTCAGGGATCTCGGCTGGAGGGAACTGAGGTTGGAGGCGGCTCGGATCATCGTTTTCAGACTGTTTTTCTCAGCATTTGATGTTGTGATGTGTTGTGCCGGGTTGCGCGGGGATCTCTAGCGAGTCACGAGCACAGGCAGGCAATGGCAATCAAGATGAAGATGACGACGAGGACGACGAGACCGATGACAGTCAGTGAGATGATCGGCGGTTTACCTGAAAAGGATGTCCGAGGATCGGGTGATGGCGGCAGAATTCGGCTAATGATTCAACTTCTGTGATCTGCCACTGATGGCACGATGCCGGTGAAACCTGCCGCTCCAGTCTTATGAATGCTTTTGCCGAAAATGCCTGCCGCTACGAACCGGCAGAAGTTCCCAGACGGGGCAGCAGCGTAACTGTTAGATGCAGCTTCAAGTCTACCGAAGCCGCCGAAGCCTTTGGCCAACGACCCTCCCAGGTTTTGCGTCCATGCCTTTCATTGCAGGTTGCTGGTTGCCGGAGCTGCCGGCCGACCGGACATGCAGGATAAGCGGCTGCTGATCCAGGCCGGCATTCCCTGTGCGTGCCTGTGCCACTCCTCCGACCGATTCCTCAACCACAAAGCCTCCAGGCAACAGCACACCCGCGCTCCGGTCACTGACCTTCTCCAGGTCTTCGATGCACACGAAGAAGCGCGGTACCGGTTTGCTCGGGACTACGAGGCTCAGCAAAGTCTCCGAAGCACTGTCGACTCTCGACGACATGCCTATTCATAGACATGGCTGCGTGGCGAGGCCATGAATATCGAAGATGCGAGGGATCAACCAGCAATAATTGCACTCAGCAACCTATGTTCAAGTGGCATGATATACTGCGAGGTTTTGCCACACAGGCTTTTAATTCTCTGACTGCGTAAGGATGTTGGGCATGTCTTCTTTGGAGATTCTTCAGGCGCTCACAGTTGTCCTCGTAAGCACCAGGACGTACTAGGAGTGCTTGGTCGTAGCGTGACATGAAAACGGTAGGGCAATAGGGATCAGATCAACGCACAGCCAAAGGCCTGAATATAGGCTGAAGCCGCCAGCCATGCAGTTCTTCCACGGGGTCAGGTTGTCTTGACAGCGTAGTGTCGAGCCATCTTCGGAGAAGTCCTACAGGTTGTGATCGAATATGATCATCCACTGCCTACTGAGAGGCAGTTAGGCCCGGAAGAGTTTTCTTCGGTAAGCGCTTTCGTCGTTTCCGGTGCCAAGTAACGATTAGCAGGAAGTTACAAGGGACTCAGGAACATCAAACACAAACACGGGTTCCAGTGAGACCGGGAACACATGATCGCTGCAGACTCTCCTTAATATTAAAACATCTGCGGCCATGACGCCACCTTTGCAACCGCGTCGGGACGGGGGAGAAGAAACTCCCACGCAGAGGCTGAGCGGCTCGCACTCTACGCCAACTCGGTGTTCTGCCTGGCAATGCCCGGCGACGGTCTGCCCTTAGACAATTGCTCGTGGAGGATGTGGGGATAGGCCTTAAAAAAAACTAAACAGGCATCAACAAAAAACTACGTGGGTATCCCGAGAGACTGACAGAAAGCCAGAAAGACAGAAGCAGCAGAACGACAGAAAGAAAGAAAGAAGGCAAGAGACAGAAAGAAAGAAAGACAGAAAGAAAGAAAGAACTAAAGGAAGAAAGACAAAGAAACGAAGAAAGAAAGAAGGAAGAAAGCAAGACATAAAGAAAGAATGCGGAAAGGGAGACAGACAGAAAGCAAAAAAGAAAGAGGAAAGAGGAAAGCGACACAGAAAGAAAGAAAGACAGAAGAAAGGGAAAAGGGCAATGAAGAAAGACATAAATCAGGAAAAATAAAACAAAACGACAAAGAGAAAGAGAGACATAAACACAGACATAAGGGAAGGACGTAAGGA